GCGAGAGGGAAAAATATGGGAGTTTGGGTTGGTTTATGGAGAGAGTTTATAGAAATTGAGAGAGATAAGACAAGCATCTTCGGGAGGTTGTGGATGAGAAGAGAGGTTGGGAGGAAAAATTATTACGTCTGTCCTCCGGAAGCCGAGCTGCATCCGAGCAACGATGTGATACAGCGGAAGTCGGCTGTATTACGGCTGTCGCCCGGATGCAGCTCGACGTACGGACTACGGACGTAATAGTCTCTCGGTTGGGAGAGAGATTGAGGTTGAGGAGTGGGTTGGAAGTTAAAGGTGCGGAGGAAAGGTGGTTGCTTTTTTTTTAGAGGAATGGTGGAGAGCTTGTTTTATGTTATTTAAAACTTTGTTGATTTTCTTGTTCTTTTTAGTTTTATTATTATTATTATTATTATTATTATTATTATTATTATTATTATTATTATTATTATTATTATTATTTTTTGTGTCATGAGAGTGTATATATATTTTTTATTTTATTATTTATTTTTATTTTTTTGTTTGGTATTTAGTGGTCATGTGAGCTTTGACTTGATTTGGAGGGAAGTGGACTTAGCTCACCTTTGTATACTTTTGGCCCATGTCATGGAAATGGGTTTTACTCTCTCATTATGAAGATTGAGCGACATGGGGGCTTGGACTTGGATGGAGAAGCCCTAATCATGAAGATTTGAGTTTAGCTTAGGTTTGGCTAAGTCATTAAGGTGATTAATCTCTTTTTGGGAAATCTAAAAAGGTGGTCACCGTTGGATATAAGTGGTTTGATGGCTTGCATGAAGCTTTGACATGGTTTGGTGGCTTACATGTGGCTTGCACTAAAAAGAATTTTGGTGATTTTTGGATTTTTTAGGCCATTTGTCATGAGTTGAACCAGCACCATATTGAACCATATGAGTAGAGAAGCACCAACATTATTAAGTATAAAATGTATTACAGTATAGAAAAATACATCATTTTTTATGATAAAAATAGTTTTCTCAACATTTGTGAGATGTATCTTAATCTGACAGTACTCAGAGAGGCATTTAATGAATTCATGACTAAGTAGATGACTATGGATTCAACTAACATATCAATTCACGAAAACAGATAGTTATCTTTGGGGAAAGCCAAATTCCAGTTTGTAAAGTCCATTAAAATCTGCCACTTCCTATTTGATTTTGGCATCAACAATATTTTTGCCAACCAATCTAGATATTGAACTTCTAAGATGTATCTTGCATTCGATACCTTATATATTTTTTATTGAATATGCTCTACGAGATCAATGATTATAAATCATATCTTCTAGTTTGTAGGTTATTCTTTTGGTTTAACATTCAACCCGTGACAGACAATGTCATGTTAACTCCTTTCATTTCTTTATGCAACGAGGTGAACACATCTCAATATTCATAAAGGATGACGAAAATAAATCATATCCTTTTCCCTACATTAAAATAATATTATGTCTAGATATTTTATCTATCTCTATTACAGTAAAGGTGACTTCTTCTATGACTCTATTAGCTTTTGGAGCATTTCCCCTCTAAGCATCATTTCCTCTTGGATGTTATCGGCATCCTTAAATATGAGGTACGATATTGTTCCAAATCTCCTTAGATAGTTATTATTTCCTTACTATTTGAACTTAACTGCAACAAGATATGTTGATATGAAGGCTTTAAAAGTGTTTAGGAGGGTATAACCAAAACTTACATTATAGTTCACCAATGAGTTAACTATAGTATCTTCAACCATTGTAATAAATTATTTTCTTCTTTTATTCCTAGTGTTTGATAGCATTATAACTCGTATTTTTTCCTTCTTCTCACCAAAAAAAGCCATACAATAATTCAGAGATGAGATTCAACTGTGAGGATCTCATGTTTATTTTATCATAGACACTTTCAAATAGCATATTAAGAGAACTTCTATTATCTATAAGAATACCTATCTAGTAGCTTGCAATCAAAATTGTGACCATAATTGTACCATTATAGGTGTTTCCCTTTAGGGTTATATCTTTTTTAGTGAAGGTAGTAGGTAGATAACTTACAAGCTAGCAATAAGACTGATCATCAAGTACACTTCTCTTGATTAAGCCTCTTCAGAGTCAACTAGTGAGAGGCCTCTAATCCATCTTTATCAAGAATGGATGGGACCACATCCACTATGTGGATCGCATGATCTCAAACTAATTTGTTACAAGTTCCTTAGTGGGTGACTTCCATTGTCTCTAAGGAATCATCCTTAATGTGATGACCTCCTTTAACATTTTAGCCTTGATCAATTTTTCAATCAAATAGTACTATGGTTTGCATTCTTCAATAGTGTGATCATGGTTATGATGGTATATGAAATACCTTTAGGGGTCATAAAAATAACCTCTAGCCTTCATCAACTCTAGTTTCTGAAAGCGTTCCTTGTTATGGATGGCTTCCATAATCGAAGCCATTGAGGCTTATAATGGAGTCAATGGAGGTATGTGGTGCATAGACTATGGTGAACTCCTTTCCATTAAGCAATCAGCTCACATTTCTCTTTTTTTAGAATTTGTACTTCTTGTGAACAACTTATAAAATCTTGAAAATGTGTAATTTCTTTAAAGGTATGTGATCGACGCTTCTTGAAGTTCAGTTTCATCACTTGCGCCGTAGTGTGACTTGCTTAATTTTGTTTGATCTAACATGAATTTCTCTTTGGTGGATGTGACTTTTGGACCCTCACACTAAAGATTTTTGGAATTAAATTATTTCTCACATTAAATATGACTGTTAGCCAACTCCAACAAGTTTTTTGTAGCTACAAACCTAGGGTATAACATAAGGGGCCTTCTATCAAGCCTTGGTGAGTGTAGCATGAGCTATTATAGGTTCAACGTCTCTAACCTTCAACATCTTCCTTTTCAAATGAGTGAAAAAATTCCACAAAGACTCCCTTAGCTCTTGATGAATTTCTAACAGGCTATGCAATGTCTTTTGCAACCTCTATATGCTAATAAAATATTTTACCAACATGCACTTGAAATGTGTGTGTGAAGCAATCATTCTGAGTGATAGGTCATTGAGCCACATGTTGAAAGTCATGAAGAATAAATGGCACTTCAAAGCATCATTTACCCTAAGTAGGCATATCAGTCATTCAAGTGATGCAATATGGTCAGAGGGCTTACATCTACCCTAGTATGATTCCAAGGAAAAAATCTTAAACCGTTATGAGGCCTCAACCTCACTAATTTTTTTTTTGGAAAAACCATTCTTCACTTTATATCTTCTAGGAATTTCATTTTGTCTTCTCTCCTTTTCGTAATTCAACGGAGCTAAATCAACATTGTCTGAATAATACATATTATTCTTGCTCACCATAATAAGGATGAGGTTGCTCTCACACCAGCTTCGAGCATCCTTTATCATTGTGCTACTGATTTTGGAGGAAGTAACACATGATCCCTTGGTGCTTGTTGTAGCATTTTCCTTTTGTCGCCATCATTCACTATTTCAACTCATTAGTTTATTGAGTTACAAATTCTTCAGTACATTCCATCTTGCTCTGAATTTTTTTATTACTTGATTCAACACCTTGTGTAACTCCTCATCTTTTTATAGCATTATCTAAGCTCAATACATCTTTTAGGATATTGAATATTAATTTTTATGTAGACCAACACACCCAAGAAAAGAGTTAGAATGGAAGGGTTAAAACCAGGGAACGAAGAGAGTTCTTTAGAAAATAAATGTTCTTCAATTTATGAAAAACAGTTGCCCTCTCATAATATCATCATTATGCCCTCTCTTATAATATCATCCTTATTTTGTAAGTATATTGTTGCATATATTATAACGTTTCAAATAATGATATTATTACATACAAATCCTATAATTTTTTTTTCTTTCAATATTATTATTTTTTTTTCCAGGAGGGCATTAGAATACTTCTCAAATAATGCTTTGGCTTAATTAATGATTCCTTTAAGAGTACTTCCGATCGATCATTCTCATTTACCCCGGTTGATTTTGTGGAGAATGGGCAAGTTCGTTCAATCGAGCTAGGGGGGAATGCTATTGAATTCACCATACCCAAACAATAGAACCTGTGTTTCTCATGTGACTCAATCAAACCACCTTATTCATTTTAACTATTCAGCTTCTAAGTCAAAGCACCCTTTCCTGATCCCTTGGTCAAGTTGGTTGATCAATCTATTGTGCTAGCTTGATGAATTGGTTGACTTCGTGCCTCAGACCCATCACAAATGCTTTTTGTCGTGAGTCAATAAGGAAAGTGATTCCCACAACTTGTAATTCTCCAGGCTTCACCAAGTCAATAAATCTAACACAATGAATCACTCCCACAAAATAAGCAAAGAGTTAAAAATCTAAGGATAAGCATTAATGTTGCTGTCTCCCACATAAGTTTTTTTCTCGTTGTAAACTGGTTAAGCATGCAAAAATAGATATTCATTTGATGTTTGGTTAACGAATCAAATGATTTAGATTATATAATTTAAGACAATGGAATGACTTAAATTATTTTTCAAAAAAGTTAAAATATTAACCGATAATTGAACCAATATTTTAACAATCAAATCAGATCAAGTATATAGAATCATTTTCATTTGATTTATAAATTATATAAATCTAGGGGCATTTACAGACATACCACCCAAATACTACTATTTATTGGCTTATATAACACCTAAACTTAAGCTTGTATATTTATACCACCCAAATCCTTCATTTCATGTAGAAATGTCACTATTTTGACTCTTGGAAAATGAACTACACATTTTCATACAAAAATAAGATGGCAAGTTCCCTAAAATTTAATTTTTTATATTAGATATGTGCATATATGCATACCGTTCAAAAATCTATAATAAAACCATGATTAAAATTTTCTTACCCTTCAAACCAATGATTGACATTATTAGCATTTACAGATCTACCAAAATTCTTATATATTTAAATATCTAATACTTAAACTTTCATATTTACATGCATAACACTCAATCAAAAATATCACTATTAAATTGAGATGCATCTTTGCACGCATAAATTCACGACATCAGTGTCATAAATATAGATATGAAAATTTAAGTATGAAATATGTAAATACATACGATTATGTGGTATGAATGCAAATTTTCTAAGAATAGAACAAAAAGAGTTGGCAAATTCACTGAAGAGACCGTGAAGGCTTACAGAAGCGCTGGGCTTGGTTCAGAGATCTTACACATGCATTCTGGAGACCTTGGCTGCCTATAGATGCTTCGGCCCCTTCGTCGCACCTGCACTCTGTGATTTTCTTCAATCATCTTCCTCACTCTCTCTTCGAATTCAATCCACTCCAAGGTGCCATTATCAGATAAAATTTTGGCAAAACGCTTCTTGTTCGGCCGCAGTGTCGGAGCTCGACCCCCTCCATGATATATTCGGAAGCCAGTTACAAGAGACGAGAGCTGGCTGCCAGAATCAGTCATGGCGAATACATCTGCAGCGGCGCATGCAATGAAGTCCAGAGCTGCCAGCTGCGTCAACAATAAAACTTTGAGCTTAAGAGATGTAGGAGAATTTTATGAAAGGAATTGCAGAGAATATGATGCAGAATTAATACTAGTACGAAAATCATGTCCATTTATCAAAATATGATATGCTATGACTCAATATTGAGATAAGAAATGAATCTCAACTTACAAAAATTATGTCCATTTGTCAAATATTAATTCCAGCATTTGCAAGCATAACTATTTTAAATCAAATGAAACCATATAGCACAGAATTGATTTAGCATAGCTGAAGTGCCAAGTTCCGCCTATATAAACATTACAGTACAGGCTTTGCTAATGTCAAACATACCTGAGAAGAGAAATTCCTGAAGGGAGCAAGTTCACTTGGCGTCAAAAGATCTTCCTTTGTAACTAAGTTCGGGTAGAGTGTGGCGAATGGAAGCATTCTTGACCTACCTCCATAAATATCTGATCCAGCTAAATATATGTAAGTCTTCGGCTTGAATCCAAGAGCAGAGAGCATCAATGCAGCTTCTTCTGGTGTCAATGGGCACCTTCCTAGCTTCCTAAGTTCAGCTGGAGAGAGCGATCTGTAGCAGTCAGTATTGTGAGTAAATCAACATTGACACTACCAACAAAGAGAAGTAATAACTAATAAAGCAATCATGACTAACCCATTCTCTTTCATCCTCATGACAAGTGCAGGAAAATGAATCTCCCTGTATGCTTGCAATTCCCTTCTTTCCTTCTCTCGCCCACCGAAATCACACACAGAGTATGCAACCATATCCATTTCAAACCTCATGTGTAAAGCAAGATATTTGAGAGATTTTCCAGATATGTTATCCCCAACCAACAAGCTGCTGGGCATATTATTTCCAAGTAGTTGTTTGTCCAGTTCAGAGACCCTAAAATTATACTTTCGAATCCGTTTGATGAGCAAAGAACCCATCATTTGAATTTTTGGGACAAATTTGAATGCATGAAAATTGCATTTGCATCTTAATTTCTGGGAAGTTTCAAATGATATGCATCAAACAAAAGCATCCATGTCATTTTGTCTAACAACCTCTGCATTTATTTAAGAAAATAAGGCCGTGAAATTTTGAAGAATAAGCATGCACCTGGAGCTTAGCCGGAATTGGGTCAAATGCAAGCCGATTTCCAAATCCAAGAAAGTGAACAACACCATTTCGCAACAAAAGAGGATGTATGACTTCAGAGAAATAAATAGGTTTTGACTCTTTATTGATATCCATATCACTAATCTGCATGAGTAAGAAAATTATTAGGAAAAGCAATCTTATGTGAGATATGCATTTATCATGAAAATCCTGAATTAAGAAAAAAACATGCCATCACCAAAAGTAGACCAACCTGGCTACCTATTGATTCCAGATCCAATGACTGAAGATGAAGAGGCAACTCTTTTACTATTCTCACATCATCCTTCAACAAGTTTATGAAATAATCTTCTTGATATATATTGCCGAACTGGCTGCAAATCATATAGAATATGTTAATTAAAAAAGAATAAAGCTAAAGTGCAATGAAGTAAAATGGAACAGACGGTAGACATAATCCGACGTGATTCAGTTTAGCTGTAGTTTGATTGGAGATGACTTCTCATCATCATCATGGTTCTTAGTTCACTTCTATGGATCAGGATTTTTTTCAAGGCTGAGTGCTACATGAGGCATTAAGCAATTTTTTTTAGCTTCAACCCACCTCTCATTTTTTTCGTAAATTTATGCAATCACAAAAAAATAGCTATTTTATTGGTAGAATAAAATTAGATAAAAAGAAAAGTGAAAATTAAAAGGGTACTCAATTATTTAAATTACAGTAATTTTAAAAGAACAGTGGTCATAGCATTTTAAAATAATAAGGAAATAAAAATAAAGGTCTCGTTCAAATTATAGAGCTTGGATTTATTTCAAATGGAATCATCCTAAGAAGTTGATAGGGCCCTCTACTAACATAATAAAGAAATAAGCGGACATGGAGCATGCCATCATTGATACAAATTCAAAATCTACAATCAGATGCATGATGTGTGCTTTGAGTTGAATGAAATGAGAAGGAAATGTTTTAAACTAATAGTTTAAGGATTTTATTTTTGTGAAAATATAAGAGGATCAGTCTCTCGATTAATTGGAGACAACTTGAGAAATTCTTGATTAGTTTTATTCTTTTCTTATTTAAGTTTATTTCAAAATAATTTTCTTTTCATGTTTAGGCTAGATATATTTGATAAGATTGTAAATTGGACGGGACCGATTTACCTATATATATATATATATATATATATATATAAGAATATATATATATATATATATATATTAGGGTTGAAGATTGAATAATAAGAATTTTAAGAACTCCCTCTCAAGCTTTTCTATATGGTATCAGAGTTTGGAAATAGAGCCTAGCTCCCTCCAACAGCCGTCGGAATCCCTTCAGCAGCCTGCAGACCCTTCATTCAATCAGAATCTTCCCTGCAACCGAAATTTGGGGTGGGTCTTTAACTTATTTCTTAGGTCTTGAGGTTCACTACTCTCCCGCGGGTATTTTTCTTCACCAACATAACTATACTAAGGAACTCATTGCTTTAGCTAGGCTCCAAGAGGGAGGGTCGTCCTGTTGATACTCCTTTGGAAGTTAATGTTAAATATGAACGGAATGATGGTGACTTCCTCTGTGATTCATCTCGGTATCGACAACTTGTTGGGAGTCTCAATTATCTAACAATCACACGTCCTAATATTTCATTTTTTGTGCAACAAGTTAGTCAATTTATGCAGACACCTACACATCTTTAGTTGGTTGCAGTTCTATGTATTGTTAGGTACTTGAAAGGTACTTCTCATCATGGCTTGTTTTTTTCTGCAGAGTCTCCTATTCGCATAAAATCCTATAGTAATGTTGATTGGGCTGGTTGTTCTAATACACGTCGATCTATTACTGGTTGGTGTATGTTTCTCGGCAACTCTTTAATTTCTTCGAAAAGTAAGAAACAAGATCGAGTGTCTAAATCGTCTATTGAGTCTGAATATCGTGTTATCTCATCTGCTTGTTCTGAGATCATTTAGCTTCGGGGCTTGTTGGCTGAGCTTGGTTTTCCTCAACTTGAGTCTACTTCTCTTTATGCATATAATACTAATGCTATCCAGATTACTGTTAATCCTATCTTTCATGAGTGCACGAAGCATATTAAAGTGGATTGTCATTTTATTCGAGAAGCCTATGAAAGTGGTGTTATTTCTATTTCTCACATCTCTTCTGATCTTCAAGCGACTGATATATTTACTAAGACCCTTTCTCGGCAGCGTCATCAGTTCCTTGTTGACAAATTACTGCTTCTTAACCAGTTAACATCAATTTAAGGGAGATATCAATCAAGAATAAATGAAATCAGACAAAATTAAGAGTTTCTTTATTTGAATTGCTGAATTAAATTCCTTACTTTTATTGCACAGATTCTTTCCTTTTAGCTGAATATTTAGATTAGGAATATGTATTATTAAGCTACCTAAAATATGTTGTATAAAATATTATATACCTAAATTAGATTTTACAGACTATTATTTATTGGAATAAAAACAATGAAAAAAGACATTCAGTCAATTCACTCACAACATTGACAATCCCTGCTGCAGGCCCTCCTTTGCCCCCTTTGCAGTCGGAATCATCCTTATTGCAGGCCCTCCTCAGTCGGCTCCTTACAGGCTTTTTGTCTCCCCGCAAGCTTTCGATCTCCTGCAGGTTTCCTCTTCCCACTGTCAAACCTTCCCTGCAAGTTTCCTCTCTCCGTTGTCCAACCTTCCCGCCGACAAGCCATATGCTACTCCCCTAGCAAACAGCAGCCAACAAAGTCGTTGGACTAGTATCATACAGCAAAAGCAGCTTGGAAACTTGCAGCTAGCAGCAACTAGGAATTCTTTTTATCCCTAAACGTGCATAGGGTTTATGACCAAGTAAGGAACAAAGATGTCTAGTTCTAGACTGGAGGTTAGTTATGAATCAAAAATCGGGGATTATGTTCAAATAGCCAATGAACTCTCTACATTTATCACAAACCAAAAAATCATTGGCTATAACTTCCTTCAATTGTCTCAATCTAAATTGATGTATATTTTTGGAACATCTCAAAAGAGAGGGACATTTCTTGAGCTCACAAATCCTAACAATCGCACATGAAAGACAATGATTACCAAATTTCTTGCTCTACAGAACAACAAAATTAATTTGGGAGGCTACAAGAGAAACTTACTCCAGCACTAAGATACAGCAGGGTTGTTTGAGATCAAACCCAAACTAAATGATCTTCGTCAATAAGAGAAGCATCGCCCAATATTTCAAAACTCAAACAAAGCATTAGCTTCAAATGAATATGTTGGGGACATGTGTGAAAATGTTCACATGGTGTCGTGATGTATAAATCAATCATCGAGAGAAAGAAAATTATTTAATTCCTAGTGTGACTAACCAAGGAATTGGATTAAGTAAGAGGGAGGATCATGCGAATAAAGCCTCTTCCATCTACCTGTGATCGTTTTCTTAAGTCAAAAGAGAAATAAGTACAAAAAGAGCTTATGATGATTTAAAATGGGAATTCACTAATTTTTCCCATAACTAAAAGTTTAAGAAGAATAGTCGCACATCTGACTATTGCAAGGAAATTCTTGGCCACCTCAAAAACAAATGTTAGACTCTATGAGAAACCAACACATTGGAAATGTAATAGCTAAAATTTTAATAAAGGAAAAAGAATAATAATATTAATAAATAATAATACTAATGATAAAATAAATAAAAATAAGTCTCTTAGGAACGGCACACCTCTTTGCAGGGATTAATCGCAACCATTGTCATTCGACCCACTTAACGAGCAGAAGGAGAAAGATGTTGCGGCTAATGTGCGAAGGAGAGAAGGTAGGAAGAAGAAACTGTCGCGCAGTGCTCGCGGAGAGAGATTGGAGGAAGAAACATTCGACGTCGACCACCTTCTGCAGGAAGGAGGCGGAGAGCTTTTGCAAGTCGAGTCGAGACCGAAGAGGAAGAAGGGTTGTCGTGTCTTCTTTGCGTACGGAGTGAGGAAGTGACTTCGGCGCTATAAATCCACGCAACAGAAACTACGAAGAAGAAGAAGAGGATCGCGGTACAGTAAGTGCAGTTAGGACTTTCGAGCCATGCGAGGAAGAAGAAGAAGAAAGAAGTGGTGCCGAGGGCTTAGCTGGTTTGAGCCGCAACTGAAGACGTGTCGTCTTCGCGAGAGGAGACGAAGCAGTGAGCCTTGTGTGCGACTATTGCGGTTGTTGAGCCTTGTGAAGGAGAAGCAGAGGAGAAGACCTACTTGTCTTGCTCGCGTGCAGAAGAAGACGCGACGTGGAGGAGGGAGTCGAAGCTCGCATGATATGTTGGGGTGAGACGGGACCGAAGGAAGAAGGACCTCGCACGGTCGAGCTGAGACTGAAGGAAGAAGGGGAGAGCTTCAAGCGCGCATATGGTTAAGAAGCGGTATACTCAGATTTTTAATAACATGATTTATTTATATTGTTATATGAACGCTTTTATATATCTATATATATATCTATTTATCTATTTATCTATTTATCTATCTATATGTGTGTGTATATTATAGTATGTGGGTGTGTTTAATAATATTATTGGCAAGTTTTATTAAAATGAGTTTGAATGGGAAATTGGTGGAGGAGTGTGCAACTTAGGGGGAGGATAGATCTGATCAACATATTAGGTAAATCTTCATATTCAAATTAATTAAATTATCCAAATATTTTTTAATTAAATTATCCATATATATATAATGTTAAAATAGGTTTATTTGAATATGGGACTTAAAAATTAGGTTCAAAAGACTAAGTATTTTGGATCGTGAATTTTGTAAGGAGCGGGAAAGAGAGAAGTTGAGGTAATTTATATTTTTATTTATACTCATGTTTGAATAACATTAGGTGGATAAAATCTTATGGATAAAATTGATAAAAATATTTGATTCAAGGATATATAGTTAAAGTGAAGTGGTTCTTAAGTAAAGTATGCACTTTTAATTAATATAGGTGGTGTTATCCAACGCAGTAAAGTGAATGAGTAGATATTTCAGAGGTTTCTTGAAAGCAGGGTGAGTGATTATTTTTATTTATGTATTAAATTATTTTTTTAGAAAATGAATAATTATTTTATGAGATGGTTTAGAATAAGGTTTTTAGTTATACCTTGCATATTGAAAGTCAGAAATGGTATACGAAATGGGAGGAAAACAGAATGGGAGGAAAATAACTTATATATGACAAAACAATTTAAAGGATTTTAAGTGTATGAAATGAAAGATAAATGTTCAAGTCATATAGGATTACCACCAGATAGTACTGACAAGGGAAGTAATGTACTCGTGCACGTTAAAGAGAATGGTAAATGTGTATCTTCGAGTGTCATTTGAGGGTACCTTCTTGTAAAATTTTGAAGGTGTCTTTAGACATATTTTTTATGGTGCCTTCGGACACATTTGTTTATGGTGCCTTCAGACATATTTTTTAGAATACCTTCGGACATGACGATAATTATGTCATAACTTTTAAAAAAGTTAAAAATGGTAAACACATAAGGTGGAACGAGAAGGGATAAAGTTAAATTGTTAATGAAATAAAATGCATTTATTTTGTCATTCATGCATAACATAGCTTAAGAATTTAATGCATATTATATTTATAATTACTCACAAAGTTATAGTTATAGTTATAGTTGCAATTAATGTTTTTTTTAGGAGAAAAAGAGTTTTAGGTTGATCTGATAGGAGAGATTTGGTTTATAAGAGTATTGTAACTGATAGATACTAGTTATGATATTTTTGTAATTTATGTTTATTGTTTCCTTCATTTACTCTTTTGTGCTGGTTTGAGATGTGATTTTTCAGATTATGTTGAAAATTTTTATGTTTAATTTTATATTAACTTTGTGGATTAATGACTCTCTTATATATTAGAAGTTTAAAAAATGTGAATAGTTAGTTAGATGTTAATATCATCCGACCGCAGTAGTTGTTTTAATTAATTCTAAGCACTGAGTCGGGTCATGACAAAAGTGGTATCAGAGTAATTTGGTTTGATCATGATCTAAAAGAACCATTAGGATGATTGCTTTAATTCATAAATAATATTGATAAGGAATTAAATTGTATTTAATTATATTTTTTTTTAATACTACTTCAGAAAGTTGAAACATCAGAGGGAAGAAGCTAGAGATGATATTATAGAAGTTGATGCACCCCAACAGATTTATGTGAATACTGATGCATATACTGAGATGATGACTGCAGTAACGCAGTTGATTAAGAACTCTCAAACTTAGGTCAGTTCCAGTGAAGGTCAGATGGATAAGTACCTGAATTTATTTTAGGATATGAGACAATCTCTCTTTTCTAAAGGAGGAGGTACAATAGATGTTGAAAACTGGTTGTTGTGAGTAGAGAGGATCCTAGATGGATTTTCTTGTCCTCCAGAGAGGATGGTTACACTACTGCATTTGCATTAGAAGGAGAAGAGAGATGGTGACAAGGAAAGTGCAGGGGAAATTTGGGAGTAGAGTCAGTCACATGATTCCGTGAGCGAGTTCGTGAGTAGCTTTAGAGACTGGTTCGTACCAGTGTCTGCCATGAGACAAATGCAAGGCAAGTTTATCAAGTTGGCACAAGGTGATCGCTCGATTATGCAGTATGAAGTTAAATTCACCGTGCTCTCTAGGTATGCACCTCAGTTGATTCCTAATGCTGAGCAGTCCTATCGATTTTTGCCTTGGCTCATATATGTGATTCAACAGTCATTGATTCATCTCGGAATCGATGATTAGAATAGACTTTCTCCTTGCCAATAATTCATAATTAGTGTAGGATTTCAAAATTGTTTAGAAACTTAAATGTGGTATTGTGACAAATGGGAGCATACATATTCTTTACTTTTTTCTAATTGTGCAAAAAATATTGACTAATCTAAAGTTGGTGTCGGCATGTATAATAGTGATGGGTAGGTTCTAGTCTCTCACTCTCATATTACTCACTATGCTCTCTCTGCAGGACTTAACAGTGACATTTAGTTCCAATCTCTAGACCAAATTGATAAAAGAATCTACCCTGTCACTCTAGAAACATCAATTCTACGCCCATTAAATCTTATCTCCATTTCTATTTGCACCCCCCCCCCCCCCCCCTTCGGACGATCGTCACTGTTCTTTTCAATGTAGAATGTGATACTTACAAGTTAAGAAACTTTAAGCCCTCTCAGATCTGTAAGTTTCCTCAATAAATTTTAACAATACAAGTGGGTCTATGATGTGCGCTATCTAATTTTTTTAAACTTGCGTCATATTGTTTGTATTAGTTTCAAGTGGATGTCTGCATTTCCATAGTTCCCAAGAATTCTAAAAGAAAATTACAATCAAGTCAAATTCAAGGAGGATTTTCTAGAATTAAAGTCTAATCATTAAATTGATAACACATTCCTTTTCACCTAAATCAGAGAGAATACATAAATTCAATCGCACCTGAATGTATAGTATAAGGAACAAAAGTGAATTAACATATCAAGTTATGAATCGAAAAAATAATGTGAAAAAAACTTCAATTTGCAAGCTCAGTTAAAAGAGCAACTTCCCAAGGCTATGATCCCTGAGCGCTACCTGACAAAGGGCTCATGGTGCATGAACCTCTCCTTAAGAAATTCAAACCAGAAAGCACTGAAACGGCTTAAACTTCCCAAGCATTAAGAAGATTCGCTTGCATGTTGATTCAGTATCATGAAAAAGACGAGAAGTAAGAGAAATAGGAATGTTTTGGTACATGTAGCTGAATAAGACTTTGGTATAACCTTTTATCCTTCCAAACGTTACTATAAAGAAATTTGGGAAGAACTAGAGATGCGTTGAGCATTGCAGCAACAGCAACGGCATTGCATACCTGCAAAAATAAATAATTCATTAAAAAAAATGTACTGTGAATACTATAAGAATATACACACACGCAGAGAAAAACATGAAGTATTAGCCCTATTATAAAGCAACCATCGAACACATTTGGCAAGACAGGACAAAAAAAAAATTTGAAATTATGATGAAAACGGGTAACACTTTCAACTTAATATGCACTTAAATTCATCTTTGCCATCTCCTACTATTAGATAATTTCTAGTAATTTCCATACTTGAAAAATAAAAGGGCTTTATTAGTACTGCTCAAATTCAAATCAAGGATTATTCCCATCTCTTAGTGCTGCCCCGTATATCAGGTAAAGCAAACCAGATAAGAAAACTTAATCCTGGGATGGTAACGAGAGTGGGGACTATGAAATAAAAAAAAAGTATCAGGACATACCATTGCCAAGCTAATTTTCATTTGCTTGATTCTGCCAAATAATTACTTTGGATTCATGATACTTGTTATTCATTTTCCGGAACCTCTGACACTCAAATTAGACCTCTCTGGGCCTCACCTGCCTAATGGAGTCATCTTATTCATGTGAAGAAGCAAACATCAAGTTCCAAACAACAACTCAATCATCACCCAAATGCTCAAGTGGTACGAGTATTGGGATAGTTCCACATTAAGTAGTTGAAAAATAAATGGCATTGAAATATTAAGTTATTGGCCTTCACTCGTAGATTTAAACTTTTTGTTTGAAAATGATTTTAACCGCTGCTATATCTACCCCACTTTGATCCCCTTTGGTTCATAATCTATAACAAGGGGCACACCCATAACTAATTTTTGGATATGTTGAAAGTGAATTCATTTGATACTAAAAAATAGATTTTTTTTTTTTTTTTGAATAAATGGAAGTGAAAGGTTGCAAGAGTAGAAGATTGTCATTAAGCATTAAAATTCCAAAGTTTCTATCAAAGTTGTTTTAGTTTTGTCACTGGATGAAATCAAAATTTAATAAAATGAAAGACAGATTTTGCTTGTATATGGGATATAAAATTCTGTAGTCTGTCATTAGTAGGTTATAAGGTAATGAATGAACTATTCAAATGATAGACAATTTGCTCCTATGTATCCCCATTACTAAATAATAAATGACAAATATTTAGCAAAAAAAACTATATAAAATTAATCATCATTATAGGTTTAAATTGGTCATCCATATTGATCGTTGACATTTATGCTTTGCAATATCTTAAATGCAAGCAAGCATCAAACAGCTACTGCTGATGTCAGACATCCATAACTTTTTAACGGCATAAAATAAATGTAACATATGGTTGTTTTAGAACCTTACAGCAACGCGTTGCTGGTTTAGACCACCATTTGCACTCACTTGGATAAATCCAGTGCCGTTCATGACATTTTCTGCAGCAAAACATAACCAATTACTGTTGTATTGCAAAAACTAAAGAAGATCAACATGATATGCTTCTGTATATAGTTGCATGATCTGAAATTTAGCCTCCACCCAACCCAACTAAAAACAAAATAAAAAAGGATAACCCAATTGGTTCATCAGAAACTCTGCTTTTCTTAGCTTTGACTACATGATTAAAATGCTCTGAATGGAAAAGTCTGGAGGAATTTATTTTTAATTGCTAGATTCTACATTTTATGCTTACAAGGTTTTTGGATCCCAACCATGTAAAAATCAGCATTAGGACTATCCTACAGGCTACAGGTACGAATTTTCTTCTGATATACATTTTCATAGTTTTTTATGTTCATAAATATACCAATTAAATTTTTAAAATGCTAGCCCAGCTTTGAAATTAAAATTGTAACTAATTTTTTTATATGCAATGAAAACAAAAAATGTACATGATAATTAAGGAATTTTGAAACAGCCTTTAGAAATCATCATTTTCTTCTTTCTCATACTTGTTCACCTTCATGAACAGCACTGCTAGATTTATCTGCACATGGTTTCCATGATGATGCTTGTTCGTAGTGTTCCTTCCATTGTGCAAATGGATCTTGTTGTAAATCATTCTATTTCATGAAATTTATAGATAAAATTTAATAAATAAGTCAGCAAACATCCAGCTAAAATGAAAATATAAATCACAATGTTGAATAGAGAAGCAAACCTTTGCCAGTGCAGTAGAAGCCAAATTTATTAGGCGCTCATACATCAGCTTTCCAGTATTTTTTTGATCAATATCATATCTACTGCCTCCATCCTACAAACAAATTATTGAAAAATAACAAACCCTCTATCATGCCGTATATAATTAATCTTCCTACCACTTTTCTATCGTTGAGGGTGTGGACAATCATCATAGAAATACAAATTTTCGTTAATAAACACACAAAAATTAAGAATACATACACAAGGATGTGAACCCCACACTAATTCATTGAAAACTTTGTAGAATAGAAGCATGGTTCATTTGCATGTCAAATCATAGAGTTCATATGTCCCAAGAATCATTACTAGAGTACAGGAAGGGATTAAAAGTGTTAGATTAGTTTAATTCTTGAGGTAAGCAATCATATAATGCATTTCAATGCTGTAAATCACATTAAAAGATTATTTTGAAGGAACTAATATGTACAAGAAAGTTATATTACAGTAAGTTACTTTAGATTTCACACCTTGATTTTCCTTAATTTGCTGCCGAGGTTGCCATTGCGGAAACTGATGTGATGAACTAAAGTAAGCATCACGGAATCCAGAAGGAAGAACGAACCCAACAGCCCAAAAACAAAACCCACAATTCTCAACTGCTTGCATATCCATGCCCTCCTCTTACCCCATGCTGCTGTCTTTTGGGGCTTCGAAACGTGATAACTCTTCCTCGTCAACAACTGCACGCCTAAATTCTGCCCTTCCTTTCCCATTAAAGAATCGTACAATCACACAGCAAGGTTCCGACGTAGCTAACAGAAACCCCGTAAAAACAGAATAGTTTCTTCTCCTGGGTTCTATTTCAAGACGACAACTACTGAACGGATCCTTTTTGGAGAGATGCATTCGCGAAGCCGACCTACCAATCCACCTGATTTGAAAATAATCGTTAGTTGGGAAAAGTAATTGTGCTTCGAGGAGAAAGAAGATAGGTCTTCCTTAATTTTGGAATAAGAAAATAGAAGTGCAGGAGAAGGAATGGAGCAGGTGAGTAAGACGTAAGGTTCAAGCAAAAGTAAGGAAAAGACCTTGCAGCAGCTTGAGAAAAGGATGGAACTCCTGTAAAATAGTTGGCGATCAACGCGAAGGTGCTCGTGAACTCCCTGCACTCGCCCATTAGAGATGAATGATTGTGATATGGGGGGAATGACGGAACCTCCGAGACAGAGAGTCGGACGAGCTGGAAGAAACCTTGCTTGCGAAGTGAAGTGAAGAAGAAGAAGCCCGTCCGAAATCCTAACGATCACTGACGGGCTCAGCGAAATCTAATTTGCAATCAATTTTGTATTATTAAATAATAATTATCCTAAATGTTTAGTGATTTAATACTGTAGATACCCTTTTCTGAACTATATTTTCTTATGTTAATGCATGTCTGATTAGATTATTTCTTCTTAAAGTTGAAATCACATCTTCATACATAGATTGAGGGCGCCTTTGTTTTAGATTTTGAACCACTGAAGAACCAACTCCCGTGTGTTGATGCTTCTGTTACCAAAGTGAAATCAGGGTTTAATAATAACCCAAACATGAATGGTATTCTGTGTTCCCTCATGTCTTCCACAGTTGTCGCATGATTCTGAGAAAATATTACATCTGGAGTTCGGATACACAAGAATTTTTTTTTTCCTTCGGGTGTTCCACTCCGTTGCCCGGAGTTGCTTGAGTCCAGACTCTGGACGCAATATTTTCTCCCCGACTCTTCTGCTCTAGCCTAGCAACTCGTTCGTGTGTCCCCCTCTGCACATCCATTAGAAAGCCCCAGAGCCGCCCCATTAGGACGTCACGAGCATTGCCCTCTCTGCCTCTTTGAGAAATCCCGCACCAATTTCAACATCGCCCTCTTCTTCTTTTCCTGAAGGTACTTCCAATGTTTCTTGTGTTCCTTTTATGTGCAACTTTATGCTTTTTGTGTTCCTTTTTATGTCATTTGGCTTGATAAACACACAAACATTGTCACAAATAATACAATATTAATCCTTTTCTTCCATTTTCTCTACTTTTTAATCTTTCTTGTTCAAACAACTACAGTTTGTTTATCTAACTAGTTAATGCATTTTTCCAGAGATTTTTGGCATTTAGATTCTTTTTATATTTAACCTTCTTGTTTGGAGGTTTTCCTAAACAAGCTGGCCTTGGTTTTTGGACTAAAACAAAGTGGAGGCCGGGAAGGGAGTAAAATTAAGGTAGAGCAACTTGTTTTGATAGTTGTTGACAAAGAGGGAGAGCGATGAATGGTTAGGCGAGATGGTAAGAAGAAACCTTAACTGAAAGAACCTATGCATGAATAAATATATTTGACTTTTAAGAAGTCAGCAATTATGGCATTTTTATTGTGATGTTAAAGCTTTGAGTGGTATGTGTGTAAATATCAAAGTTTAGGCACTACATAAGTACATATATATAAATTATGTGGTATGTATGTAAATGCCTCAATTTTTTTTGCTCAAGGTGTGCAGGGGCATTTGTTTAACTTGTAAATCTAAAGTCAATTCTACATTGCTTTGAGAAATGACTTTACTTCTCAAATGTGAATAGAAATGGAAAAATAGGGACAACACGAGTTCTATATTTTGTCTTTTCTCATTTCTCTTTATATCTACTCCAGTATAAGTACAATAAGAATTCTTCAATTACTTTTGTCAATTGTACTCTTGGCAATACTGTTAGGAAAGAATATGCTTGAATGAGTCATTTTGTGTTTCATTCTTGTGTTATTTTCTCTTTTTTTTATTAAACTGGTGTAAGGAACCTTAATTAGCATAATTGGTTTTATTTGTTCTTGTAAATTTTGGAAAATATTAATTATTAGCATATAACATTTGAAATCATATATCAACCTGCTATATACATTAGCCAATGGGTAACACAAATGACATCACATCATTCATTATTTGGGAGAAAGAAAAAAAATGATTTTTTGCAAATTTTTTTGGAAAGAGATAGAATTAAGAAATAGACTGACAACACATTTCAGCAGAAAAAAGTAAGTTAAATATTACAAAAAAATTTTAAAAGATAACTAGAAGATTGTATGATTGAACTTAATTAAAGATTAAGGAGAACATTAAAATAAAGACTGAAAAATTTGGAAAGATCTCAAAAGATGATCAACGGGACTTAGTCGGGATTCAATCAAAAACACCATAGATGCCTCAACAAATTGGTGGAATGAGAAGTTAGAAGTGAACTTAATTTTAATCATTTGTAATTATATTTTGTTATATGTAGAATTATTAGATATGTATTTTCCTTGTCATTGTATGAATGACATGTTGTGCAAAATGCCAAGAAATTTATGTTTATTAGAAATCAACCCCAAGCTAGACGGGACGCTTGATCCATGATTAGTGGTGTTATTTTGACCCTCAATTAATGAACTAAGGTAAAAGGGCACTTTTGTAATGTGGTACCGCTCACCTACCTCCCACCTACCACTCTCTTGCTTGTAGAAATAGAGAAGGTGTGAGTCTTAAGAGAGCAAGGGAAGAGATCTTAAGCTACCACAAAGGAGGAGGGAATAGCTAGAGAGATAGAGAGGAGGGGAGCATCTTGAGGCCTTGTATCAAGGTGTCGCTTGAGAGGGAGACCATACAAGGAAGATGAGGGCTCATCTCTATGTATAAGCTATGTATTCTCCATTTCTTTTGCCTTAGTGAACTATTTGATTGATTCCCTCCCATGGACGTAGATCCAGTTGGATCGAACCACGTAAACGATCTGTATTTGCTTTTATTTTTTGCTTCTCATTTCTATGTCAGGAAGTACATATCTCACAACAATTGGCGTCGTCTTTGGGAAGATCCCTACTTCTTGGCTAGAGGTGTCCGCGGCCAGCAACGAAGAAGAGGAGTTCAGCATTCACGAATAGAGGTGCAAGCGGATCACGTCACAGGCAGCCGAATCGCAACAAATTTGGTGAGCAGTGGAAGCTTTGATCGACTGGATTCACACTACATGTTGTGCTGTTCGGCGAGACGGAGGAGGAACAGTCCTCGAGCGAGGGCCGAAAATTTGCGAAAGGGCTGCCAGCAGAGGATTTTGGAGCAGACTTGCGAGCAGCTCAGCCAGAGGGCCAGAGGGAAGAGTAAGAGGCGGAGATCGCGCAGAGAAGGGTCCGGGGAGTTCCCTATTCAGGAGTTCGCGAAGCAGGACTTGAGCAGTTTGGCGAGGCGCGACGGCTCTGGAGAGGCAGTTATTCTCGTGCAAGAGGCAGAGGAGGAATTCCTGATTTGTTCCCCTAGACACAGAGGAGTGCCTGCGCGAAGGAGGCACGAGCACAGAACATGAAGTTTTTTTTCCGTTGAACAGGTGTGATCTCTGCCAGAAGGGATCGGTACTCTTCGTCCGGTTGGCGAAGGCAGTAGAGTTCACGGGGAGAAACCTAGTTCTTAGAAGGGCAACAAGTAGAATTCATTGGAAGAAATCCTAGCCACGACAATGAGTTTCCTCAAATTCGACATTGAGAAATTCAATGGGAAGAACAACTTTGGCCTATGGAGAGTAAAGATAAGAGCTCTATTGGTTCAACAGGGTGTTGTAGAAGCCTTGCAAGGGTCGGCGGCATTGCCGACCGACATGACCGAGAAGGAGAAGATCGGCATGCTGGACAAGGCTCACAGTTTGATAATCCTGAGCCTGGGCGATAAAGTTCTGAGGGAGGTGTCGAGGGAGACAACGGCTCAAGCACTTTGGGCCAAACTCGAGG